TTGGTGTAACAAGGAAGAAAGAATGGAACTAGTTATACTACTAGGACTAGCTAAAACCTGTGTATCAGCCGACTCATCCTACGAAGAACTTTTTTTCGGACCTGGTTGGTCAAAAGGGCGGATCGACCAATGGCCCAAGAAAAAGATGGCGCCAAGGGTCACCAAAATTGCCAGTAAGTAAAGCACTGTACCCAGGGGGTCCAGACCCCGCCAATCCGGTTATTAAACAGAAATAGTGCCTTATCGAAAAAATGGTATGAAAAGTACCGATGTCGTAGCTCTACCTTCAGACTAAACAAAAACAAAGCCTCAGATGCCGGCAGTGTGGCCATAGCATATGCTCGGTGCAAAAAAAAAGAAATTACTGCCATCTTTTGTTCTTTGCTACTAAAGGAATAAAAGACTTGTAAATTATGAAAAACTAGCCCTTCACCACCCATGAGACACTCCTGGTTCTTATGCATGGCTTGGCAATAGGTCGCCGGGGGCTCTGATACCAATTGAATTCGTCAGCCTAAGTAAAGCCAGTCACTAGAGTAACTTGTACGCTCCAACACCAAGTGCTTATCATAACAACTGCATTCAAATTTAACAAAAATGTCGTCTGCTTTCTGTGCGAAATAACTATCCCCTTTCTTGTACCTTATAAACAGGGAAACGTCATCTATGAGTCTACAACCTCTCAACATCTTAGCATCCTTGCCTAAACTCCTCAATAAATTGTACTCGTTGTGTATGCACGTTAAACATATCAACGTTGGGCTTGAAGATTTCCCCATCGGTATTCCCAAAGTCTGTTTCATAACCTGACCCATTGACAACGTGAACGTGTTCCTCAAATCAAAGACTATAAATCGAAATAATCAGGAAAACTTTACCGATTTAGAACCAATTTCACTTATAGCGATGCGACTTAAACGAACCCGTTTTCTGCGAGCACAATATAAAAACTTAAAAAACTTTTTTTTTTCAAACAAACTAACCGCCCATTCGACAGCAGAATGCAAAAGTTGAAAAAACATTTGTTTCACGTCGTAACTTCGACCGACAAGTTCGTCGTTTCGCCCCAGACCACCGTTAACTGCCTCAAGAAAGGATGATAATAATTATGTACTACTCAAATTCAAATGACTAACACTAGAAATTTTTCGGACCATCTCATTTACACAAGCTAAAGTAATGCATGCCGCTTTCCGGCTTGGTTCCGACCAAGACAGGCAAATCAGGCGCCACCTACTAACATCTTTGTACTTTGAAAAAACATACGAACGTCATAATTTACCACCTGATTCCCAAGAGGCTAACTGATATAACTTCTCATTTCTGTATTATTTGCAACAGTCAGTCAGAATACTTTTTTCATCCTTAGCACTTTTCTCCAAACCTGGACTTTCGACAAACAACTTGCGAAGACCTTGCCCGTAGACAACGGGACACCAAACATATGTATCCCCCATATTGTGGTCTAGGGGACATAAAACCAAACCATCTAAACACTCCTTCCATTGCAGGACTTTTTTTTCAAAAAGGAGCTACCTTGTGCTTCTGAAAGACACTCATCAAGCGTCACTCTAGAAACACACACATCTTTCCTAAATAACTTAGTAAGGCAAGAGCTTAATTGACTACGGAGGATGGAAACATTAGTATTATATTGAGGTACCGCAATATTCTTTGAGTTACGTAGAGATTCTGGGATCCACTGAGATTGACTAAACCTAAAGGAAATATGACCATCTACGAACGGAAACTTATGAGCGAATTTAGAGCGCACACACAAGGGACTAGGCATAACAGA